TTTTTTTCCGCTAAGTACACACTTAAGGTTGGGTGTGCGAGAAAAAAGGGGGGAAACATAAGATTTTTTGCAGTTTATATTGGGGAGGGGTCGTTATTGGGGGGGGGGGGGGGGGGGAAGGATATGGATGTCCCTAGTATGAATTTCAAAAGCAGTCGTTTCACGTATTGAAGAAGAGGTCATTTCACTGTCAGTGTTATACTTTTATTTGTCATTTTCCCTGTCGCTGTTGTGGTTTCAACTCATCTTCATGCCATTTCATCTGTCTTATGTTGCTGTTTCGAGGCCATTATTTACCCTAACAGGACCTTTGCTACTGGGACTCTCTGTATCTTTTAGACAAAAAAAAGTTATGGCAGTGTATCAATAAATTGACATGACCTTGAAAAATACCGGCAAAGAAACTGACTTCCTTATCAGTTCCTAAAGATAACTTAAGAAAAAATTGAGAATGTAATGATCACATTTTATTCTTTGCTTCTTCAGAGGAATTAACATGTCTTGACACCAAGGAACCAGTAGGAGACTGGGAAAATGATATCCTTTTGTAGCAATGTTTGTTTTTTTTAGTAGTTGAGTAGAGATCAAAGCTGCCACGAGCCGGCTAGATGCACGTACACTGTACACTGTACTACAGTGGAAGCTCTCGTGACCGACTACCTCGGAAATTTGAAAAAGTGGTCATAACTAGACCTGGTTGCTTACAAGAATGTGCTCTTGTAAGCAACTGCATGGTAAAACAATAGAGGGTGGTCGCTTACGAGAGATTAAAAAATTCATTAATGATTCATAAGGAAAAACAAGATAAATTAATGTTTAATGAGTGTCTTTATATCCAATATAGACACAGCTAAACTTTACGTCCAGTGTGCAGTTTCTACAACTAAAGAATTACTTTGTATGAATCAGACTTTGAGTGGTCCCTTTCGATAGCTTAAAAGAAAGCAAAAATCTAGTTGAGCGATAATGCCTTTCTTACCCTCTGTTGCTAGTTCCATCTTGAATAAATCTGATCTGAACCTTGACTGTTTTCACATTATGATGATGCCATTCAACCATTTTTGAAAGAGGAAGAACCTTGTTACTTGTTTTATCGATTGGATTCCAAAAACAACCAGGGATATGAGTGGTTGTTTATTTCTTATTCCCCTGATTTTGCCAAGGTATGTTATGTGTACATGTATGACAGTGATATTTCAGGGGATAGTTTGTTAGATCAAAATAACATTTTGGTGAAGTTATTGGACTATACTGTACCCCGCTGTCCTTTTTTATCCCTTGGATCACATGTAATGCATTTCTCCCCCATTTTCCAAGGCTATCCACTTTAATTATGCTGTAATTAATATTTCTCTCTGGTTAAAACATTTTCAAAGCAGTCTGATTTTTGTTTCCCTTGGTTGTAGATTATGTTACAATGTACATAATGTATCTCAGACAAAAGAAATGCAATAAAATGATAAGTACTAATAATATTGTTATTAGATTGAAAATTTTCAAATCAAAGAAAGATTTGAACCTCATCATTCATATAAGAACCATAAAATTCTGGTTGTAAGGCTTGCCCAGGGCTGACATTGTTATAAACATTTTAAAGGCCTTTCTGCAGGGCTTTAATTTTCAGAGGAGGGGTTGGAGGGGGTTAGAGTTAGAGGGGTTAATTTTTTGTATTTGGATGGAACTTTGTATTAGCGCCTTTTCAATTGCAAATTATAGGTCATTACCCCCCGGTAACTAAAAAGTCATCCACCATGCAGTAGCCTAAAGTTGAAGAAATGTTGTACTTGTAAAAGTTGTTTAGATAGTCAGGGTTGTTACAAGTTAGTGTTTTGTGCTCTTCAGCCTCAGCGAAAGATGTTGTTTGCTGGCACAAAAGCAACACTTAAGAAGGAGTTTGGTGGAGGACATATAAAAGATGAGATGTTTGGTACTCTTCCGGTATGTAATGTGCTTGGTGACCTTTTTTAAAACTTGTGACACTCAAGAGCAGTCACCTCGTATTTCCTTTGCCTCAAGCCAGAGTGAAACTATAAGGAAATAGGAGATGTCTGTATGCAGGCTATTAATTTGTATAGCTAACTACAGTTGTTTTACTGGTACATGTACTTCATGCTGTTCAATAATGTGAACATGTTTGTACAATATTTAGGGTGATGTTTTGTTAAGTGGTTATAAGAAGCACAAAGATCATGAAAGCGCCCCTCCACCACTCACAGATCAGGAACTGGAATTAGAATTGGTCAAACAACAGGAGGTTAGAAAGAGGATATCATTTTTACTTAAAGCTGTTACAATGTATTGTTTAAAAAGCAGGACTGAAAAAACTTACTTGAATTTTAGCTTACTCCTTGGACTACAAGCGGCTGTCCCTTTTGGGGTCACCTCCTGCATTTCATTGCTCAGTAAAAATATCTGCCTGTCCCAAATTTTTTGTGAGCCCAGAAAAGGTTAAAGTTCCAGAGCAATCATATCATTTAATGTGTTTATTTTCCCACCCTGTCATGTAAACTACAGTGAAATAATTTTATTATTGTTATCATAGATTGTGCAAAAATGGCAGTTAATATCCATCTAAGGCCTTAGTGAAAGATAATCATAGTATTTGAGCACTTTTTCCATTCCACAAATAGCAATTCACTCCTACCCACTGTTAGCCAAAGGCACTTTTAGAAGTACTCTGTTGAGTGAGGATCATGTCCTTAATTCTCGTGACCACCCTTGTTTTATAAAGCACTGATATAAAGGGAAAAATTGGGGACTCAAACGGGTTAAATCTTTTTTATACTGCCTAAACTGTATTGCATAACAGCTGTATATGTAAATCAGAAGCAATATTTTTTCTCTTAATACTATTAATTCACCATGTCGAAAAGTACCCAGAAAAAATAGGGTTTTCTAACTCTGACATCCGTTTTAGTCCTCGGTCCCGCGTTGTTTTCTTCCTGTGATGAAGACTTGATTTACATTTTGTTTCCCAGATGCGAACAGACATTAGTGTTGACAGCAAGCAGAGTCACATGACTGGTGTTCATTTCCCCGTGTCTGATGAAGGTCTGGCCAAACTGGCAGATCTCAAGGAACATAAATTAAGCCTGGTTCAATTAGTAAGTATAATTATACTGTCATAAATTTACAAAGTGCACCCCATAAAATGAAAAAAAAGTGAAAATTGAAAAACCACTACAAGCTGTAGCTAGCACGTACTAGCCCAAGAGTCATTTCTACTAGCCCCCCAAAAAATTTCTCGTTGGGATGATGAGATTAAAGAACCCTATTACACTGTACACACATACATACATTGCAGTTATTTAACCTCGAATTTAGAGTAGCTAAAGATAAGCGAGTTACAAGTATAGTTCTAAATACTGCTAAAATTTTGAAATTACAACATTCCAAAATTTTATACCATTACATACTGTAGAATCTTGCACTTGAAATCAGACAAGTTAGAAGTTGTAAAAGAATCTGGAACATCTAACTTTTGTGAGACCCTCATAGAGTTAAAATTCCGCCCGCGAGAGTTCATGATAGACTATACGCTGTGCATCGTTACCGTAAATCTTCTATTAAGTCCCCCCTCTCTTATAAGCCCCCCTCCCTCTAATTAGCCCCCCCCCCTATTCAGGGGGAGAAAGTGAATAAGCCCCCCTCTCTTTTAAGTCTCCTCCCTCCCCCTAATTATTCTTCACTAATAAATGATAGACTGTATTAATCAATCACGACCGTACAACTTCGTGTGGACTGATACGGGATGGTTTAGTTTGACTTTGATTCTGATCCTCGGCTGCTTGACCTGAAACTTCTTGTACTTGAGCTTTTCCACGTTGTATTCTAGTTCTTTATAAAGAACTGATACCATCGGCGTTTCTAAATAATTAAAGAAGCCCCCCGTCTCTTTTAAGCCCCCCCCCCTCCCTCAAAGGGCTTGAAATAAATAAGACTCTCCACCCTGGGGGGGGGGGGCTTAATATAGGATTTACGGTATATCATGTTCTGTGAATAATCATGGATTCTCACCATCGGCGTTTCTAAATAATTAAAGAAGCCCCCCCTCTCCTTTAAGCCCCCCCGCCCCCCCTCAAAGGGCTTGAAATAAATAAGACTCCCCACCCTGGGGGGGGGGCTTAATATAGGATTTACGGTATATCACGTTCTAAGAATAATCATGGATTCTCTCCCATGATAAAGGAACTTAACATACAAGATGAAACAATAGTTTTGGCGGACGCAAAGGAGGATGTTGCCGCAAGTGATTTGTCCAAGCATGTTCCCGATGACAAAGGAAGATATATATTCTACCTATTTAAACATACTTTCGAGGGAGACTACCTGGAATCTATAGGTATGAGGAAACTATTCAGTTCATATCATAAACAAGTGGTAAATCTTTAAAAATGATAGATAACAACAATTGGTTGAACAGAGCGAAAAGTGTTAGTAACGCGCATGAAGAGAATACATGTTAGCAGTTCTCTAAATACTTGTTTCTTTTGAATAAGAAATAGAAGTTAGGCAAAATCATTTTAGGTACACTTCTTCAAATTCACCACGTTAGAAACGTGAAGACTTCTGGGATTGCTTCTAAAGAAAAGGAAAAAGGAGCGTATTTCGCCCCCAGTTTTCCCTCTCGTTTCTAAAGAAGCGACTTGAACGAACCGTTATTTTTGATGTTTTTACTATTATCCAAATGGTGGCATAAATTAGTAAAATACCACCGGTAATGATCTTCATTCATTGCATTTATTCATTTTATTCATAAATTCAAACATACATCAATGAAAATGAACGCTGTAACCGCATGTAGCGAGAGCTAATCGAGTCGTTAGTCTCCTTGGCAGCCGGGCGTTCGGGCCGGAGTCACGCAATGCGCCTGCCGGCTTGCGTGACTCCAGCCCGAGCAGCTGCGAAGTCGAGGAGTGTTTACAACAAACCAAGTTATGCTAAATGCAGAAAAAAAAAGTTATACTAAATGCAAATACTACAAATAAAATTTGCTATAAGAAAAAAGTTGAAATAATCCACTACTAGAGTTGGTAAAACGACGAAGACAGATGAAAGAAGAGTTGAAATAAGTAAGAGCTGATTCGATTCGAGGGATTCGAGTCGATTCGAAGTGTTTAACCTGCTGCCATGGTGGTCTCTTACCGCTGACCACAAGCTGCTCCGCCATCGACATGATTGTGTTGTCTTGCAGTGTTCGTATACTCAATGCCTGGATACAAGTGTTCCATCAAAGATCGTATGTTATATTCCACATGCAAAGGACCGTTACTGGATGTGGCTACTGACAGAGTTGGGCTAGAAATCGCAAGAAAGGTAAATATTGAGGTTTCTTCGATCCTAGTTTCACGATGAAAAAGACAGCTTTTCGCTTTGGTACAACCCTAAGAGGAGCAAGGATTGGCATAGTCGGTTAGTGAGCGGCCTTCTGTTCTGGGGATTTCGATTTCGATTCCCAGATGTGACCTCAAATCCGTGTAGCTTTAAGTAGCGTTAACTACCCGTAGAACGGAGCTGTGGTGGAGAGAGAGGGGGGGGGGGGGGGGGAAAAAAAAGGCGGCGGCGGCCCGGTTGGGGGTACGACACGAAAAATAGAACCCTTCTTTTCCTTTTTTTCCTGCCCCCCCACAAACACTCAAATGTTACACCGGCGGAAACACGGGTGGCGTGCCGGGCCCCTGCATTTG